ATGGTATCAGAGCCACACCTAAAGGGATACTCTCTGGAAGAAAACCATGACGAACGGTGATGGAAACAAGAAGGCTTCATCACCATCTCCCTATGCTCTTACAACGAATGATAACCCAGGCAATCTAATTACTCATACTCAATTGAGAGGACCCAATTTTGAGGAATGGGCGAAAGCAATTAGGGTATCCTTGCGTGCTAAGAAGAAGATGGGATTTATCGATGGAAAGGAGAAACAGCCTGCCGATGACTCTGCAGAAATAGAGGATTGGTGGACGGTGAACTCCATGATAATTTCCTGGATTTTTAATACTATTGAACCCACTCTGCGTTCTACAATTCTTATAGAGAGACATCAAAAGAATTGTGGGATGACATACAACAAAGGTTCTCTGTTCGCAATGGTACAAAAATTTATCAATTGAAGACAGAAGTTTCCAATTGTAAACAGAATGAAGACACAATTATGGCCTATTACGGACGCATAAAGAAAGTATGGGATGATCTTAATGAATATGATCAATTGCCTACATGTACCTGCAAAGGGTGCAGCTGTGATCTCCCAGCACGACTGGAGAAACGCAAAGACGAGGAGCGTGTGCATCAATTCCTAATGGGACTCGATGACATGTATTATGGAACGATCAGATCCAACATCATCGCAACAGAACCACTTCCTAATATGAATAGGGTGTATTCTAGGGTTGCGGAGCAAGAGCAAGTGAAAACAATGACACAAGGAGGCCTGGAGCGGACAAATGCAGTTGGTTTCGCTGCCAAGGTGCAGGGAAACGGATCTCGTCCTTCAGGGGGGGATCGTAGAGATGGCCCAAATATATGTACTTATTGTAAGAAAACAGGTCACAAAATTGCAGATTGCTGGAAGCTTATTGGATATCCTGAAGGTAAGGGCAGTGGGGGTCGTGGTCGCGGTAGAGAATCACATTTGCAGCAACAATCTGTTGGACAATCTGGTCGCGGCAATGGACAGGGCACTGTCAAATCTTATGCTGCATATACAGGAGAAACTTCGTCTACTGTCCATGCTCCTCTTATGGATGCTGATAAAGCAGGGCTGGAAAATTTGAGCAGTGAAGATTGGGATACACTCAAATCACTTTGGAACAACAGGAATGCTAATCCCACACCCCGTTTGTCTGGTAAGACAAATATCTCTTGGTTATATGATGCAGGTGCATCACACCATATGACTGGTGCGCTTGACTCATATCATCGAGTGTGGAGTATAATACCTCGTCCAGTGATTATGCCAAATGGTGAAAGTGTCATGGCGACTAAAGAAGGGGTCGTTAAAATAGGGCGTTTATGCCTACAAGACGTTCTTTTTGTCGATAATTTGAATTGCAATTTGATCTCTGTGTCAAAACTTGCTCGTAATAAAACTCATGTATTGAAGTTTACTGATCGTATGTGTGTGATACAGGACTGCACTTCGAGGATGCTGATTGGAGTGGGTGAAGAGCGAGACGGGCTGTATGTGTTAAAGGAGGTGTCACTGGCTCGAGTGCACAAGATCAGTGGCAAAGGAGATGTAGTTCCTGACAATGATTCAGAATTGTGGCACAAGAGAATGGGGCATCCATCCTTTAGTGTGGTAGATTTACTTTCTAGAACAAACAAAAATTTGATTAGGACGTCAAATAAAGCAGCATACTGTGATATATGTCTGCGTGCGAAGCAAACCCGCACACCTTTTGTTTCCAGTGAGAATAATGCTACAGAAAGTTTTGAATTGATTCATTGTGATTTATGGGGTGCTTATCGCGAAACAACTTTTTGTCACTCTAAATACTTTCTCACCATTGTGGATGACTTCTCTCGTGCCGTATGGGTTTACTTGATCAAAGAAAAACATGAGGTGTCTCTTATCCTAAAGGATTTTTTAGCTATGACAGAACGCCAATTTAACAAACAAGTGAAAACCTTACGTAGCGATAATGGCAAAGAGTTTACTGTTTTAACTAGTTATTTACAACAGTTGGGTATTGTGCATCAAACATCTATTGTCTATACAGCTCAACAAAATGGGCGTGTTGAGCGTAAACACCGGCATCTCTTGAATATTAGTCGGGCTTTAAGATTTCAAGCCCAATTACCTATTGAATTTTGGGGGGAATGTGTGTTAACGGCTGCATATTTGATTAACCGAACTCCAACTCCTCTTTTGAAAGGAAAAACACCCTATGAGATGTTGTATGGGTGCTCTCCACCTTTTGATCAAATTCGTGTTTTTGGCTGTTTAGCCTATGCTAAGAGTTTGACTCGTGATAAGGATAAATTTGCAAGTCGGAGTCGACGGTGTGTTTTTCTTGGCTATCCCTATGGCAAGAAAGGTTGGCGCTTATATGATTTAGCAACAAGAAATGTATTTGACTCCAGAGATGTTGTTTTCATTGAGCATGAGTTTCCTTTTGCACAAAGTTTGGAGGGCAAAGCAAATTTGCCTAGTGAAGTTGCTGTCTCACCACCTGATATGGCCGCAGATGACCATTGGCTCGACCCTCACACGCAACACTCTTCTGCCACAGATCATCTGCACAATACGGCCCAACCAACAGAGACTACCGTCACTTCAGAAGATGCAACACTTCCTTCCAATCTCTCTGACACTACACAGCAGCCTGACACGTTCAGTACACCATCATCTCTTCCTGAGTTTCCAGAAGACATGCAGCAGCTCGGTCGTGGTCGTCGTCAGAAATTTCCTTCTGTCCACCTCAAAGATTTTGTAGCTCATACACATACAGCTCGCCCAGATCCCTCGCATCCTTCATCTACTTCTTCAGCATCCTCAGGTACGCCATATCCGCTCTCTGATTATGTATCCTACAGTCATTTTTCTATGGCGCATCGTCGTTTCTTAGGTGCAGTTACTGTTGGTGTTGAACCTACCACCTATAAGGAGGCTATGCGTCATCCATATTGGAGAGAGGCCATGCGACAGGAAGTCAAGGCCTTAGAAGACAATGGCACCTGGACTGTTGAAACATTACCTCCGGGCAAGAAAGCTTTGGGAAGCAAATGGGTGTATAAAATCAAATACAACTCCGATGGTTCTGTGGAAAGGTACAAGGCTCGGCTGGTAGTCTTTGGCAATCATCAAGTTGAAGGTCTGGACTACAATGAAACTTTTGCTCCCACAGCAAAAATGGTTACGGTTAGAACTTTTCTCTCTGTTGCTGCAGTCAAAGGATGGGAATTACATCAGATGGACGTCCACAACGCCTTTCTACATGGGGATCTTGAGGAAGAGGTATATATGCGTTTTCCTCCTGGCTTTGAAACTCCCGGAACTAATCAAGTTTGTCGTTTACGCAAATCATTGTATGGTTTACGACAGGCGCCTCGGTGTTGGTTTTCCAAGTTGGCGAATGCACTGGTAGCTTATGGGTTTACTCAATCCTCTTATGATCACTCTTTATTTATTTATTCTCGAGGTGCTATACGTCTCACCATTTTAGTCTATGTAGATGATTTGGTTATTGGCGGCAATGACACTGCATCTATTGAAAAGTTCAAATCTTATTTGAGTACTTGCTTCTACATGAAAGATCTGGGAAAACTGAAGTATTTTTTAGGCCTCGAGGTGGCACACAGTTCTACCGGTATATTCCTCAGTCAACGAAAGTACGCGTTGGATATTATCTCCGAGACTGGTTTATTGGGCGCCAAGCCTGCAAGTACTCCTATGGAACAAAATCATCAGTTGGCCTTAGCAAAGAATACCGACATGGCTTCTCCTGAATGTTACCGAAGACTTGTTGGCCGACTAATCTACCTCACTATAACTCGTCCAGAGTTATCATATTCAGTTCATATTCTCTCACAATTCTTGCACCAGCCACAAGATGCACATTGGGATGCCGCTTTGCGAGTTGTTCGATACTTAAAGTCTCACCCGGGTCAAGGTATACTACTCTCATCTTCCTCTGCGTTAAGTCTTCGGGCCTACTGTGACGCGGATTGGGCCAGCTGCCCCATGACCCGTCGCTCTCTCACGGCGTATTTTATATTTCTTGGTAACTCACCTATCTCCTGGTGAACTAAAAAGCAGCAGACAGTTTCGCGATCTTCAGCGGAGGCTGAATACAGGTCTCTTGCTGCCACCACATGTGAACTCAAGTGGCTCCATGGCCTGCTTGGTGACTTTGGGGTTCCCCGGTCACTTCCTATTCCTATCTACAGCGATAGTCAATCGGCATTGCACATTGCCCACAACCCCGTATTTCACGAACGTACTAAACACATCGAAGTCGACTGTCATTTCATTCGTGATGAGATACATCGTGGTTTTATTCTTCCTTCCCATGTTCCGACAGCTCGCCAGCTCGCTGACATACTGACCAAGGCACTTGGTCCCCGACACTTTGAGGCTTTATTGGGCAAGTTGGGTATCTCGCAGCTCCATGCGCCAACTTGAGGGGGGGTATTAGCGTATGATGAATATTTCCCATATATAGAATTTTATATTTTAGGAGTGTATCATGTAAATAAGTAAACTGCTCTGTTAGTGGGAGTATTTTAGGGGCTCTAATTGCTAGCGGACATGTATATATGTATTCTTTCGGTTAATGAGAAAGGCAGAGAAAATCTTTCCCATATTTCTGTATTATACTTTCATAAGGTTTTATCTATAACTTTAGATGAGAGTAAATATGTTAGAAAAAATCATTAAATTACATACGTAGTATAATTTAATGGAATGAAATAACATCTTTTAGAAGTCAGTTAAAATTAAATTTCATGTTTAAAGAGATGTTTTTCATCAGATATTACTGAAATAAAAAAAATATGGAATAAAATATAAATAAAGTTAGTAAAATTGAGCATAATAATGGTCACAATAATACTATTACGTACGGAGTCTTATATTTACTAGTGTACAAGTCACATTTTTATTCACTACCTGTAGTACGTACCTTAATTGTAGTCCTGCATATTGGAATTGATAAATAATAGGGATCCAAGCATGTAATAATAGGAGAGATTGAGCTCAAATGGAGAAGATGAATATATAGTGAATGAATTATGAACTAAGGTTACAAGAAGCTCCAAGAGGAGTATAAATAGAGAAACAATGGGTCGGGCCGCTAATATGGGCCCGATAGACCCATTTACATAAAAAGGTTAATCTAGTAGATAGATACAAATACATATTGAAATGTACAATAATATGAATGATAATAACCGCTAAGCGTGTGTGGGCCGCTGTCCAAGCCCGATAGTCATGAGACCCGGAGATCCGAGTCTATATACTATCATGTACAATTGTACATATACTCATCATTATTTCTGTATAAAATAAAATTACAAAGTTGTTACCAAACATACGGATATACGATGGTGAAACATAATTTGACAGTTAAGAGCAGTTATTTTCGTATGGAGATGCCTTTAAATTACCTTTTATTTTCAGAATGCGTTTAAATTACCCAAGTCGAATGTTTCATGAGAAAAAAAGTAAAACTTCGAAACAATTTTCATCAAAGTAAAATTCAAATGAAAATAATTATCCCCATATGACTAAAACTCTCTCACTTTCCCAGTATATGACCTAACTAGTTTTTTTCCCAAAATAATATTACATTTCATAATAATTAATTAAAATTCGTAATTAATATTTAATAAATAATTTTTATGGACAAAAACACCCTTTAGCTTATCCCTATAAAACCCAAACCTCCTATTCATATTCTACAACCCTAGATACAACCTCCAACGCTCACTCGCGCAGCCGCCTCTCCGCCCAACCGCCGCTCGCTGCCTAGTCGCCGCCCACCGTCCACCGCCGCCGCCCACCGTCCAACGTCGCCGCCTTGCACATAACGCGATCTGGATGTAAATCGCCGCCTTGCAAAAAACGATAAACTAAAGTGCCATAACTTAATTGCATGAAGTGCATTAAATCTCGTGCCATGAACACAACATAAAGTGCAATAAATGTTGTGCAATGACTCTTTCATAAAGTGCATTATTTTTACCCGGACGAAAGTAGTGTAAAATGCATTTTAAAAAAAAGGATATTTCCGTCCATCCATAATTTAATATAACGAAAATTTCTTTTTTATATATATTTTCGGTCATACTTTGGGAAAAAAACATAATTACTCACATTTTGAGAAACTCACTTTGTTTTAGTCATATCCCGAGAATTTTTCCAATTCAAATTATGTTTAAAATGGGTTAAAAAATTAGTGATGGCCAATTATATGCACCTAACACCCTCCACCGTACCCCACAATTAAATTTATATATATATTGACATTTTTTAGGTAAATTTTGAAAAAATTACACAAATATTAATATTTTAAATCTCTCTAACTTTGACTACAAATTAAAATAACAAGATGACTTTTCTACAATTACTCCAATTGTAAATCCAAACACTATTGATAATATTTACTTAAAGAACTCTTAACTTTGACGGTAAATCATTCAAAAAGCATAAAGAGTGTTGAAGTTTATTCTTTCGGGTCCAACACGTAAGTCCCAGGATTTCGAATGGATTGGTGTGTGTGAATATATGATGCTAGCAAGTAAGATGGGCTAAGAAACGAATGCAATAGTGGGCCGAGTATTATTAGAAACTAATAACTCCCCATTACACTGCACTATGATAAGGCCGGAGGCCGTTCGTCTTACACTCAAGTCGAAGAGATGCGAGTAATAACTCCCCTGATTATGAAAATATCATTCTTCAGATTAAGCTATATACTCAAAATTGGGTAGCTAGCATATCTACAGTCAAGCTCAGATCTGCAGGTATCATTTTATTTGAAGAAGGGCTTATTCCAAAAAATTTTAATCTCTCCGGTTGCAAGCCCCAAATGATAAGATGGAATAGGCCTAATACCTGTTTGAAGTTGAATGTCGATGCGAGCTACTCAAAAGATAAAGCTTATGGAGGAGCGATTCTGAGGGATAGGAAGGGCGAGCTCATCCTTGCTCTTAGCTTTCCGGTTGTAGCTCGGTCTTCTCTGGAAGCTGAGCTTCGAGCTATCTTCTATGCTGTTCGATGGGTAGCTGCGGCAGGGTATGGAGATTTTTCGATGGAGACTGATGCGCTATTGGCACTGGATTATCTTGAGGGACATAAGGGAAGAAGATGGAAGGATGAGATTCAGGAAATTGCACAGATCCGAATTAGGCAACAGTTGGCTTTTGGGCATACTAAACGAGAGGGGAACTGGGTCGCGCATCATTTGGCCCGAGTCCAGACTGATAGCCCAATTATCTATAACAGGCCTGGTTTGCTTCCTGTTTTTGCTAGAAGAGCTTTTTGGATGGATTATTTTGGTATTCCTTCATTTAGAATGTAATTTTCTTCATATTCTTTCGGGTAAGGTTTGGTCCCCCTGGAATTTCGTATTGCATGGATTTCTAAATAAATTCTGGCGAATGTCCCCCGGCATTTGCCCCACTGATTTTGGTGGTTGACCTTCCGGGGTAAAAAAAAAAAAAAAAAGCTATGAGGTGAAAGTAAGCTAGAATGCCAAGGCAGATAAGTACTCTACCCTTTACAATGAAATAAATGCTACTTTTTATACTCCCAAGGGGTAGTTGAATACGCTGATGTGGAGGGCTATGAGTGGCTAGAGCCTCAACCACCAAATCTCCAACATTAAATGCGGTTCCCGCCAAGAATCTTAGTTTCCCGCCCAATTGTGGAGCCGAGCGTCCCCTTGAGACTGGGGCCTGCTTTTGATAACACTGCTAAGGGTCGTGGGTCGTGCGTCGTCTGGCCCTTAATAGAATATGTTGGTGGACTCCTGGGCTGGATCCTCTCAGAATCGTGGACTGAGTGGTGGTGTCGTACGTCCTCTTGGGCTTTGATGCTTGGTTACCCGTGGGCCGTGAAGACGTTCGTCTTCACCTGCCAACTCCTAGAAACTTAGACGTTCGTTCAGGGAAACAGTTAATGGGCCGACCCTCTGGTTGGGCCATTAACCCAACAAGGAGTATTACTTTATAACATGGAAATGGTTTTGAATACTTTAATTGTACATACATTATATGTTAACTTATTATAAATATAATTATATTAGTTTATATTATAATCTAAAATATTAAGAGTTCAATACGTCGAGTTTGAATACTCTATCAAACTGAAGTTCATTATGGAATTGAGCCCGGAGGTACTTTACAATAGTGAGAAGACGGAGTAGTAGTTTAGTGACATTCAATGATTTCACATATTTAAAAAGTAATACGGAGTATTATTTGAGAATAAATTTAGGATGTTTTTATTTGGTCTAGTCTGGTTTGGTTTACTCTGATATGTTCTAGTATACATTGGTCTGGTAGATGTTTGGTCTTTGAATGTGTATTTTATAACTCTCGATGTCTAGTCTGGTCTGGTACTGGTTTAGTTTGTGTAATTCTAATCTAGTCTGGTTTGTTAAAGTCTAGTTTGAATGTCTAATCTTCTGATCTAGTCTAGTCTGATCACTGAAATAAGTTCAAATAGGAACAAACCAAGCATTCCAGCCTAGCTGGCTCTGAGGTTACCGTGCCTAGTGAGAGGTCTCGAGTTCGAAACCCGCTAGGCACATAAAGGTTCAAAACTCAATGGGCTGAGTTTCAGCCCAGATTACCCCAAGCCCCCCCAGACCCCCTCCCCCAGACGCCCCTTGGAGTAAAAAAAAAAAAAAAAGTTCAAATAGGAACATGGTTACCATCGATACTTGACCGAAGCTTTTCAAAAAGTTCACGAAAATATTACAAATATTTCCTGCCGCAAGCCAATACATTTGTTTGTCAAAATTAACATTCTATTTAGGATGTTTTCTTTTAGACTGTTTTCAGTCTCAGACCAGACCAGACCAGACTAGATTTAAACAAACCAGACATGACCTGACTTTCATAGTTATAAAATACACAGAGACCAGACGTTTACCAGACCAGACCAGACCAGACCAGACTTAAACAGACCAGACCAGACCAGCAAATTTCAGTCCAAAAGAAAACATCCTTAAGCCTTTAAGTCTGATGAGGACTAAAAATAATTATATGAATTCAGATCAAATCAGACTTACGTGATTGAAAAATGCACATAGAATAGATATATCAAGATCAAATCAGGATTGATTTAAACAGACCTGACCAGAAAACTTCAATCCAATTAAAAATATACTAAGAAACTGAATCAATTTGCAAGTCAATCGGAACTTCTAAACATATAAAATATTCCTAACTTAATAATTAATTATAATATACTCTGTACTACTTTCGTCATGACTTAAGCTTCTCGTTAAAAAATGACACAATTATTTTAAAAATAATTTAATAAGTGGATTTGAGTAGTTTTTGGAAAATACATTTGATTAGTACTCCCTCTGTCCCATTTTATAAGATGTTTTTACCATTCACTTGGTCAACACAAATCACTTTTAATATCTTATTTCATATATCAAAATTTTATGACATTTGAATCATTTTTAGCAGTTTTGATGTAGTTTTTGAATATGTAATTGTTTTTTTCTAAACATAATTTGAGTGCAGACAGAGATCCGTTTGCTTGATCATCGGTCAAACATCGTTAATCGAAAAGTATCTTATAATTCGGGACGGAGGGAGTATATGTTATAAGGAAAAAGGGTCAAATAAGCCCGTCAACTATACTAAAACAATCACTTAGACCCGTAACCGGAAGAGAAGGTTACTTTCCAGTAAATTTGTGTGGGTTGATTGTTTTTATAAAGTAGAAGGGTTGAAGTGATGTTTGTATTAGTACATGGGTCTAAGTGATTGTTTCAGTATAGTTGACGGGCTTATTTGACCTTTTTTTCGATGATATAATGAAGTCATTGATGATTATTGTGATGTTATAGATTTATTATTTTTAATATTTGATGATTAATTTTTTATTTAATTAAGGGTACTAATTTTTTTCTAAAATAGAAATGAGAAATTTTAATTAGAACGTCCAAAAAAAGTAATTGAGAAACTTAAACTGGGAGGAAGGGAGTATTAAAGAACATAAGTTTAAATGCCATCATTATCATCATTTAAATTTTATGGTAAGACGTTATTCGAATTAGAATATTGATAATATGTGAACAAATATTTAGACAGCTATCATATACCTGATCGAATGTTCTAGCCTTCTAGGATTGGAGTATTGGACATGACACTCATAAAAAGCGGGGACATCAGAGAGCTTCGAAATTGTTTTTCTGTGATCAGTGAACAACACGAGTGCAATTTTGTTCACCCCTTCTTAGAGGGTGAACATCACCCCCATAACTCAAATGTTGCCATTTGGAATTTCATTTCTTTTTTTGCCACATGTC